CTGTCCCTGCTGTGGCTCTCAGCCGCTGTCACCCCCTGCCAGGTCCAGGCGTGCCGTGCCAGCGCTGCCCCGTGGGGGTGGCCCTCGTCCCCTCGGCCGCTGGACTCGTGTCACCCCGCAGTGGCATTTTACGAGGGACATTTCCTCAAGGTGCTGTTCGACCGCATGAGCCGGATCCTGGACCAGGTACCGGACATACACCCAGGACCCCATAATGGGGACAAAAAAAGCATCATCGGTGCTCAGTGGGAACAACGGGGAGTTTGGGGGGTCACCCCACATTTCTGAGCAAATCCCACCCCCCCACGCCAGCCCTACAGCCTGAACCTGCAGGTGACCTCGGTGCTGTCCCACCTGGCCGCCTTCCCCCACCCCCACCTGCACGAGTACCTGCTGGACCCCTACCTCAACCTGGCCCCCGGCTGCCGCTCGCTCTTCTCCGTCCTCGTCAGGGTAATGTCACCCGCCGGCATGGGGGGACACGGGGACACCCCCTGGATGTGRGATGTGACCCTGCTCCTCCCTGCAGGTGATCGGGGAGCTGATGCAGCGGCTCCAGCGTGTGCCCCACTCCAGGGCCAAGCTGCTCCTGGTGCGCCGGCAGCTCCTGGGGCTGGTGCCGGGAGAGCAGTGAGTGCTGCGGGGGTAAAATGCCCTTTCTTGGGGGGGTGGGGGTTACTCACAGACCCCTCCCCTTCAATCGCTCCTTTCCCCACCCCCAGGATGGATCACACGGTGCTGTTCAAGGGCGTGGTGGTGCTGGAGGAGTTCTGCAAAGAGCTGGCGGCCATCGCCCTGGTCAAGGGGCCACCCGAGGGGCCACCCTGAGCCCCTCCCTGACCCCTCCTCTTCAGCGGTGGCCACTGGGGATGGCCCAGCCCTCGTTTCAGTAGCCTCCGGTGGCCCTGTGGTAGCCAGGAATGGCTGTGACAGCGCGGGAAGGACCTCCAGGAGGGAGAGGAGGCACCGAGTCCTTCGTTGTCACCTTGGGCAGCCCCGAGGTGACGCCGCGGCCCCGTGCGGGGTGCGGAGCCGTGGGTGCTGTGGTTCCTCCTGGGTGCTGGGTTCCTGCTCCCCCCTCCCCTCGCTGCTGTCGGAGCTGCCCCGAGCCCCCCCAGGCTCCAGCAGGGAATTTTTAGGCAATAATGGGGTGTGGGGGGCAGTGCCCCCCAGACTCAGCTGTGAGGACTCGATTGTCCCCTGCCCTGGTGCTGTGGCAGGGGGGTGTGACGTGTGTGACACGTGTGTGACACGTGTGTGACACGTGTGTGTATGTGTGTGTGTGACGTGTGTGGGGTCAGGTGTGGGGTCCGGTCCCCCCAACCCCTCTCAGCCCCTCCCCAGGGTGACGGGACTCTGCTCTAATAAAGCTGTGACTCAGCCCCACTTTCTGTGTCCCCTCCCTCCCTACAGCGCCCGTGCCCCTTCCCAAACACCCCAAATATCCCAAAACCCCCTCCCCTATATCCCACCTCCAACCACAGCCAGGGGCATGGGAGAAGCAGCAGTCGGGTTTATTTTATTTCCATTCTCAGCACCTCCAGATCACGACCCAGTTCTGTCTCCTCTGCCCTCTCCCTCCCTACAGCGCCTGTGCCCCTTCCCAAACACCCCAAACCCCCTCCCCATATCCTTCTCCCCCATATCCCACCTCCAACCACAGCCAGGGATGTGGAAGCAGCAGTCGGGTTTATTTTATTTCCATTCTCGGCACCCTCAGACCAGGACTCAGCCCCACTTTCTGTGTCCTCTCCCTCCCTACAGCACCCGCGCCCCTTCCCAAACACCCCAAACCCCCTCCCCACATTTCCCCGTCCATATCCCACCTCCAACCACAGCTAGGGACAGGGGAGAAGCAGCAGCAGCAGCAGTCGGGTTTATTTTATTTCCACTCTCAGCACCTCCAGATCATGACCCAGCCCCATCTTCTGTGCCCCCTCCCTCCCTACAGCACCCGCGCCCCTTCCCAAACACCCCAAACCCCCTCCCCATATTCCCCCGTCCATATCCCACCTCCAACCACAGCCAGAGGTGTGGAAGCAACAGCAGCAGCAGCAGCAGCAGCAGCCGGGTTTATTTTATTTCCACTCTCAGCACCCCCAAACCACAACCCAGCCCCGCAGCTCCCCCATTCCACGGGCAGCTCATCCCGGGGCTCCCCGCTTCGGGCAGGACCAGCACGGGCTCCATCCCCCGGGCTCCGTGTCCCGCTCAGATCCTCCCCCGTCCCCAAAAAATCCAGGCTTTTTTTTTTCGGGTCTCTAACTCCTCACGGGCACCGCGGCGCTGACCCTGTGCAGGATGCGACCCTTCAGCCCCTCCTCCCGCACGGGCCACCAGCGCAGCGCGGGGTCGCGGGGCTCGGGGGGCTCGTCCCGCTGGCTCCCCGGTGGAATGCTCAGCACCACGTTAAAGCAGACACCGTCAGCCCCTCCGGGACCCCCGGCGCGGTGCTGCAGCCCCAACAGCCCCAGAGCTCCGGGCCGGGGTTCCCAGGCCAGGCAGTCCCGCAGCAGCCGCAGCAGAGGCGGCCGCAGCCCCGCCCGCAGCTCGGCCGGGGATGTCCCGCAGGCCACCACGGGCAGGCGGAGCTCGCCGCCGGTGGCCAGCAGCAGCCACAGGTCGCCGTTAGCGTTGGAGAAAGGCAGCAGGAGCCGCAGGCAGAGCGGGGAGCAGGGCAGCTCCCGCGGCAGAGTCGGGGGGTGCGGGGGGCTCCGGCGGTAGCGGGCGGCCAGCTCCAGCACGGGAAGGATGTCCAGCGAGCGCAGCGGCAGCGCCCGCGGGTCCCCGGGCCACCAAGTGGCTTGTAGGGACTCGGCGTCGGCCTCCTCGAGGGTCTTCAGGGTCCCGCCTGGGGGCACAGGGATGGCCGGGAATGGAGGGGACAGCAGGACACCGGGAAGGGGTTGGAGGGGGGTGGGTGGGGGCATTGAGACCCCCGAGGAGGGGCTGTGAGGGGACCCCGATACCCCAAATGGGGTTTGAGGGGTGGTGGCAGTGGCAGGGGACAGCGATGCTCTGGCACAAAGGTGGCAGGGGACGATACAATCCATCATGGGGTTTGCAGGGGACACCCAGGGGCACAAAGGTGGCAGGGAACACTGATGTTGGGGCACAGGGTGGGTGGGGACAGGGACACCCAATCCCGGGGATGCCATTTCCCACCCCGGGGTTGCCATTTCCCATCCCAAAGTTGCCATTTCCCATCCCGGGGATGCCATTTCCCATCCCGGGATCCCATTTCCCATCCCGGAGATGCCATTTCCCATCCCGGGGTTGCCATTTCCCATCCCGGGATCCCATTTCCCATCCCGGGGATGCCATTTCCCACCCCAGGGTTGCCATTTCCCATCCCGGGGATGCCATTTCCCATCCCAAAGTTGCCATTTCCCACCCCGGGGATGCCATTTCCCACCCCGGAGATGCCGTTTCCCACCCCGGGGATCCCATTTCCCACCCCAAGGTTGCCATTTCCCACCCCGGGGTTGCCATTTCCCATCCCAAAGTTGCCATTTCCCACCCCGGGGATGCCATTTCCCATCTCGGGGATGCCATTTCCCATCCCGGAGTTGCCATTTCCCATCCCGGGGATGCCATTTCCCACCCCGGAGATGCCGTTTCCCACCCCGGGGATCCCATTTCCCACCCCAAGGTTGCCATTTCCCACCCCGGGGTTGCCATTTCCCATCCCAAAGTTGCCATTTCCCACCCCGGGGATGCCATTTCCCATCTCGGGGATGCCATTTCCCATCCCGGGGATGCCATTTCCCACCCCGGGGCCATCGGGTGACACTCCAGCCGAGCCCCAGCTGTCCCCAGGAGCAGCAGCAAAGGACACAAACCCGTCACCCGCGCCAGGAAGGAGAAGCGGATCCAGGCCGGGCCCCTCTCCTCCAGCRCCAGCAGCGTGAGGGGCTCACACTCGAGCCCCGATTCCTCCTTCACCTCCCTCCGCAGCGCGGCCACGATGCCCTCGCCGGGCTCCATCCTGCCCGCGGGCAGGTACCACCGCCCCCGGCACTCGGGCTTGGCYTCCTGCACCAGCAGCAGCGCGTCCTGGGGGCGGGATGGGTTACTGGGGTAAGGCTGAACGAACTGGGATCGGGATGGCGTTACTGGGGGAAAAGGCTGCCCGAACTGGGACCGGGATGGCGTTACTGTGGAAAAAAGGCTGCCCGAACTGGGACCGGGATGGCGTTACTGGGGGGAAAGAACTGCCGAACTGGGATCGGGATGGCGTTACTGGAGTGAAAGAGCTGCCGAACTGGGATCGGGATGGCGTTACTGGGGGGAAAAGGATGTCCGGACTGGGGCGGACTGGGGCGGACTGGGGCGGACTGGGATCGGGATGGCGTTACTGGGGGAAAAGGCTGCCTGGGCTGGGACGGACTGGAACCGGGATGGCGTTACTGGGAGAAAGGCTGCCTGGACTGGGACGGATTGGAACCGGGATGGCGTTCCTGGGGTGAAAGAGCTGCCGGACTGGGACCGGGATGGCGTTACTGGGGAGCAAGGGCTGCGCGAACTGGGACGGACTGGGGCGGACTGGGACCGGGATGGCGTTAGTGGGGAAAAGGCTGCCGGACTGGGGCGTACTGGGATCGGGATGGCGTTATTGGGGTGAAAAGGCTGCCCGAACTGGGGCGGACTGGGATCAGGATGGCTTTACTGGAGTGAAAAGGCTGCCCGGACTGGGACCGGGATGGCGTTACTGTGGGAAAAGGCTGCCCGATCTGGGACCGGGATGGCGTTACTGGGGGGAAAGTGCTGCCCGAACTGGCACCGGGATGGCGTTACTGGGGTGAAAAGGCTGCCCGAACTGGGGCGGACTGGGACCGGCGGCTGCCTCACCTCCTCGTTGAAGAGCACGGCCAGCACGACGTAGCAAACGTTCCTGCCCAGGCGGACGGGCCCGGGGGGCGCGGGGGACCCCTCGAAAGTCGCGCCCACCTCCCAAGCGCCTCCATCGAGCACCGCCATCAGCTCCGGCACCGGCGCGTCCCCCATGGGCACGGGGGTCCCGCGGCAGCTGCGGGCGGCGAGCGGGGCCAGCTCAGGGCGTGGCTGGGTTTTGGGGTGGCGAGGGGACCCCCCAAACGTGCAGGCGAGGGGACAAAGAGCCGCGGCGCCGGGGGGGCTGCAGGGGGTGGTGAGGGAGGGGGTCCGGCGATTGTGGGGTGCACGGGGACGGGGAGTGAGGGGCGCTGGAGGCGGGGAAGGGTCTGCTGGACTGCGGGATGTGCAGGGGGGTGTAAATGGGGAGGGGTCTGCTGGGCTGCGGGGGGACGTAGCGAGGGAAGAGCTCGGTGGCCTTGGCGATGCAGGGCGGGGTGCAGAAGGGGAAGGGTCTGCTGGACTGGGGGACCCCCAGCGGGGCGTAGGAGGGGAAGGGGAAGGGGAAGGGGTCGCTAGGTTTGGGCAGCCGCGGGGGGCTGCGGTAGGACAGGGGCTGGCTGGACTGGGGCAGACATGGGGGGGCACAGGACGGGAAGGGCTGGCTGGACTGCGGGGGGCACACGGGGGTGCCCGGGAAGAGCTGGCACGATTTGGGGAGCCGCGGGGGGCTGCGGTAGGAGAAAGGCTGGCTGGACTGCAGCACGCACGGGAAGCTGAAGGAGGTGAAGGGCTGGCTGGACTGGAGGAGACTGGGAGGAAAAGGCTGGCCGGACTGGAGGATACTGGGGGGAAAGGGGTAACTGGACTGGTGGTTACTGGGGGGAAAAGGCTGGCCCGACTGGAAGATACTGGGGGGAAAGGGCTGGCTGGACTGGAGGATACTGGGGGGAAAGGGCTGGC